ACAGGGTCGTCCCAATATGCGTTTTTGCAATTTGCATATAGGCAAAAACGCATAAAAATGACCGTTATGTGAAAGAAGCAATAGATCTATGGGAACAAATTGCATTTATGCAGTTCCTGGGGTATAAATATTCTCACCGCATTTAAGTGATATAGGAGCCAATGAGTGAAACAGGAAATTACAATACGGACAGGAGCTGCTTTCACAGCGATCAGTAGCGTCGGATTCCTGAACTCGAACAGCAGGGCTTGAAACTGGTATCTTGTATGAAAGAGTCAAATGCCAAGTATCGTGACAATTCAGCTCCACTAAGAGCTACATATTATGACCAGCCATTTCCGTTAAATTCTGATTTGGAAAGGAGGAGGAAAAAGGAATCCTAAAACCCATAATTTCAAAGAGATTGGAGAAGCTTTAGGAGCCTTATGAGGGCCTTGGGATTTAAATTTTGAAGGCTTTCAGGGGATAACCAAAATATCGATTTCACAATAGCAAGACGACCACTACGGTTAACTAGAGTCAATCTTTCCGAAATCTTGGTACTTCTGCCTCTTTAAAATGGAAAGATTTTACCGTGAATTTTAAACCATGTTTTTATGTTTATTACTACGCCAGGTTTTTTGATGATTTCCTACTACACGGACTTGGTTGAAGCAATTTTTCATTATGCCAATTCAGATCTAACACAACTTTTGTCCTGCTGGCCAAATTTTCTTTCCCCTCACTTGCGTATTTTTGCTTGAAAAAAATTTTGCCACATCAGTGGTCACTGCTGCCCAACTGAAATCGTTACTACACTGAGCACTGAAAAATGCTACAGCATTCCAATTGATTATGTTTTACATTTATCGCTAGCTCGGGATTTTCAAAACCCACACCCTCTGTTTTTTCCTAACCATTGAAGAATCAAAATGTTCGCAAAAAATCATTAAAAACTGAAAATGCTTTAAATCATCCAGAAAAAATCGGAATTTCTATCTAGTTATCGCAAAATTTTTCCAGAATCTAAAAGTACAGAGGTATATTGATGCTTTTTTTCTTAACCACTGTCAGTCATTAATATTGAATACATATCAACACTTAACAACAGGACGGTGCTGTGATATATTCTGGTCATAAACCGTCTGCCCAAACATAAAGAAGTTAGCTGAGCATTAGGATTTCTGATTTACTCTCATTGAATGAAAATCATAGTTTTGGACAGGGCGTCGAAACAGCAGTATCTGGATGCTTATTTAAGGTTGTACACCTCTTACTATAAGGTGAACTATCGAACTAGAAGAAAATTCAAAGACTGCAGCTATCCTTGTAAATTTGCGCAGGAAGGATTAGCCTAAAAAAAAAAAAGAAAATTTGCGGTGGAACGATGGACCAATTTTTGTCTTCAGTATGCAGGGGCTAAAACTTCAAAATTTCTAGCTTGCGCCTTGCTTTCATCAATAATGTTGGCATGAGTTTGGGTTGCAAGGCAAAACACAGAGGATCTTAAAGATCTGTGACATTGTAATAGCAAGATGTACGTCTGCAGGATTCCTATCAAACTGTGAGGTGTATAGGCGATTTTCATACGTCATGGCTATGACGGCATGCGTAGGGAAGCAAAAAACAGAATCGTATGCATTTATTTGTAAAAAGAATCAAAAGCTTAGTTTACTTTGTTTACAAGGTCACTGGTACATTTTGCAAAAATTACTGTAAAGCAACTGTGCAGTAAGGTATTTTGAAGAGATAGGAAATGAGCAGTGCATCTTTGAAAACGTAATCCAAGAATTTACGGGCTTTTTAATGCCAGCTGCTGACGATAGAATTGAACGTACCGTGTTAAATCAACATATTCATTGAGCACTTGCTCATTGCTCTCGTATAGAACCTCGCTGTTTTTATTTTTCCATCCCGTCTGTACCTGGCCGATAAGTTTCACGATCAGTCGCCCTACTTTGACTCGTTCCAGTGCGCTTATTTCCACTTGGCCCTAGAAAACAAGTGATGTGCCTAAAATAAAAATATTTCGTCTACTGTAAAGCTGTTTCGACAAAAACGTCGTTGAAAGATTATGCACTGAAAAAGTGAGAACTTCGGAGCATTGTGTATAGAAAATGAATCGCAAAAGCGCATAATGGCAGTGCTCTTTTACAGATCAGTAATAAAAAGCTTAGCTTGGGTACGGATCTGAAATCGCAGGTCACGAAATGAAAAGAGACCATCGGTGAGTTTATTTGCTCTGTGTTGTCTATACAACAACAACACTAAAATTTTATATTTTTATAGTCTACTTTTATTCTAAATTTATAACATCAAATGTGGGCCTAAGGATTATATAGTCGAAGCAAATTTGAAGCATGATTTTACATACCCTTATGATGATCAGTCCACAAAATTTTCACTTCCCGATTCCCGCTAGTTCAGAACTAGATTAGCTGAAACAGCAGTAATCTTGTTTCTCGTGCAAAAAAGCCTAAAGGGCGTAAAAAAATAAGAATATGAAAAGGAAATCGAAGACTGAACCTGAACGGTCTCACCGCCAGTATACGGCTTCTCGGATTGCTTGCTAAGCAGAACATCAAAATGCTCGATTTTCATGGTATCTCCATCGAGCGCCACCTCGTCCTGAACAGCAGCAGCCACTTCCTCATCGACGCACACTCCAGTAATCAGCCCTTCGCACGCTGCCTCTTGCTTGCTTCTTCCTGCATATGAACTGCTTCCTGATTTGTTCAACAATTTGTGGTATACACATACAACGAGAGTAAACACACTTGGGATCATTTAGCAAAATAAACACAATATCAACAAACAAAGACGGGGCTAGAGAAAAGGCCAAATCCAGGACTCAGACGGCAGGCACGGATGAGGGCCATGGGCACACCGTCACTGCATCCTTCACATTACGTTTCACTTGCTTAGCCAGTATGTGCTTCCTGACACATTTCGTAAAAATGTCAATTGCTCATTCTGGGCCCAGGCTAGCCAATTGCTAGCACTAACTTGCAAATTACTGTTAGCAATTCAAACGACTTCTACTACATCGACTACAAATTAACTATAAAAAATTGAAAGTTCTGTCTTTTCACATCTGAACAGTGCAAATAGATGATAGACTTAACGAGCCGACCAATAGAGGCTGCTCGTTTTAGCCCCGACAGTTTGAAGTATCCCATCAAAGTCAGGCTTGCGAAGCAGCGAAGCTGATGGAACATGCTCCAACGTTTCGGGTGACAAATTAAGGACTAAGCCGTGTCATAACACGCTTCCCCAAAAATTTCGAAAAAATTACAACAAATCATTTAGGAAGAAGAGTTGCTGGGCAAGTGTTAAAAGAAAGCGGTAAGATCAAACACAGTGATGTTCCAGAAATTTTCCAAGCCGTAACATTTTTGCAGGGCCATCTCAGTGAAAATAAGCACTATTAACAAATTTTTCAGGGAAGTACACCAGCTGCTCTCTTATGGATTTTTTATGGATTTTTTCAGAGAAAACAAAAATTACGTTTCTTAAAAAAAGGATGGAGCCATTGGCAGAATAACAAATTATGAGGAGCGCCGACCTGCCTCTCCAAATTTTTTGATAATAGCAAATTTATTGCACCTCATGATCGATCCAGAAATGCATCAGCAACTGCCCTGGATTTTTACATAAGTTATATCGTGGGTCGCTCACATTCGCTCGCAGATCTCGTCTATCCTCGAACATTTGAAAAATCAAGCAAGTTTCGATGAAATATGCCCCCCAGCAGCCTAAGCTTAGAAATTTTCACCATATCCACCACAAAACTTCTCTCGCCCACAATTATAGTATTATGAAAATCTTACTGCTTCAGCACTCAACATTCCAATTCGTAGATTAATATTCTACGCTGTCTCTAACTGCTATTCCCGCAAAAAGGTGCCCTTCTCCCCCTCTCCTCCCTGCGCAGAAGGTGTTTCAGAATTCCTATATCCCACTATTTGCATTCAGTATCAGGCCCTGACCCCTAATAGAATTTGTGCAGCCTTTGTACCTTAAAACACCGTTTGCCGGACTGAATTACACTTTCTAAAGCAATAAATAAGAATAAAAAAACGTGACAAGTACCAGTGTCAAAATTTTACATTTTAGGCATGAAATTATGGGTCGCGTGCAAATGGACTATTGATGATCACTCCCTTTCTCCGCTCCACTTCATGATTAGAATACATTTCTGAAACTTCAAAAAAAACTTGGACTTATGCAACAGCGAAAAAGATGAGAATGAAAGAGCGATGTTCAAAGTAAATGTGAAAAAAAGTCGTCTAATGCCTCCAGACAGTGAAACTTTTGAGCATTTTAAAATTTCTTATTCATACGGCTTAGATCAGCTTTTTTTTTACCAGGCAGTCAGACATTTCACCCCACCACACTGCTTAATCTGCGACGTTAGAAAATCACCAGTGTGTGCCACCATCAGCACAACGCGTTTCATTACCCAAACAGCAGTACGAATACATTGCAAACCGTCATGAATTTAACGTAGTTGTAACGCTATCAACCAAAAGATACCAACACGCACTAGTGTATACCTCCTTTCCAATGCCGTTAATTTAACCCAGGTAGCGACATTTCAGGCTTGTCTGTGCGATTATGTGTTTTTGCGCGAACTTTTGAATTGCATATATGCAGAGAAATCCTCCTAGAGTTTCAGCTCTCCATCCTGTCTGCCTAACGCGTTAGCAATTTTTCCGCCAGAACTTTCACGCGCCCATGCATAACAACCAAACGTATTTATTGAGTTTGTAATCTTCAGATCGCATGTGGGCAGAGAAAGCTTCCCAAAATTTCAGCTTACCTGACTCATGAGCTAGCAATCTATCTGCCAGAATAAGTCAGGCTCAGACGTGTGTAAAAGTTGATATCACGTTCCTAGGATTGCATCTGGCCAGTAGAGTCACTGGCAGAATTTTAGTATCTAAGCTCATATGGTTGCCGAATTGAAATACCCGGGCATAAGTACACACGCACAAGCACACACACAAATACACACATACACACACACACACACACACACTCACAAGCATGCATGCACACCATGGGATGTTGTAATATGAGTTTTCCAACTGCACTAGTGCTTGCGCATAAATGCATAAAACTGGATGATTAAGGCAAATGATCAGAGGCTAAACTTTAAGCAGAAATCTAAGACACAAAACCGAAATTGCGATGACCGCCCAGGCAATCGGTGTAGGAATCCGAAATTAATAGTGTTACTGGGATGATCCCGAATGCCAGTTACAGTTGCGCATAATTAGGAGTTTGCCTAAAATTAAACCTCCGACCAGAAAAGCAAAGTGGTGTACTTGTGACTGTACTAACACCGGAAGTCTCAGATATCTTTTCCCCCCTTTTTCTCTGTACGACCCCATCCAAAAAGGAACTCTGATTCTGACTTATGCATGAATTCATCCGCAACTTTATTATGGTTCAGGGCAGGAACGCGAAGGCAAAGCCAATGTAATCCTCTAATAGGCAACCCTCACGCAGCTTACCAGACTGTTCTTCCTACCAGCGCAATGTGAGGTTTTTAGGAACATGTCGAAATTTTTTCTCCGGTCACCAATCGGCTTAAATAAGCAAAAGTGATTGATTTGGTTAATTGGGAAAATCAATCAGAGAGGGCAATTTGGATATCAATAAAAGTGATTGATTCGTTTTCAGGCATAGAATCTTTAAGAGCCTGCCCAAAAAATTCTGAGCACTAACTTCTAATAAGATAAATTTATGAATCATGCTGTGGAGTCTTGAAAATCCCGAAAAGGCCGTGAAGAAATTTGTGCAACTGAAAGAAAAATTTTTTCATAATTAAATGAGCTTAAACATACAGCTAATGCTATTTTATTTGATTTAGAATTACTCACCGGCAAAAGCTTGCTTAATCCCTACAGTGTTTCTTTCTTGACTAATACACTGCAAAATTTCATTCTGGTACTAAAAAGTAGATACCGGTGGGCTAACTAGGGGTACTAAAAAATGGCGATCTTAGGTAATTTGGACAAACGGAATGGCGAAAATTGTCCGATACTGGCAATGAGTTTTAAAGATATGGTGACTTTCAACTCCAGGGTCTTGCTATAAGCCTATGAATAAATTTGCCGAAAGCTGAAAAATCTAAAAAAAAGCGGATGAAAATACGGCAGCAGGAGTACTTAAACATGAACATCCGGTGAAGAAACAGCGTAAAATGAGGACTGTAAATAAAGCTTAGAAAGTGGGTGAGGGGAAACGGGGAATGTAGAAGGAGAAGCAATAACGAGGAGGCTAAGCGAAGGCGGACCGGAACGACGAGAGCTGCAAAGAAGAACATACTGCTCCTTGCTGAACCTTTAATTAGCTTTAAATTAAGCCTAGTTTGCGTCGTCGAGAGCCTCTCGGTCATCGATTACGCCGACCAACCATGGCTACCCTGCCGTCTCATCCGTCCTTCTTACTGACATAAAAAGTATTTATTTTCCCGATATTTCAAGTACCTACAAAAAAAAATCTCTTGAATATGCAAAGTTCAGCCACGGGATAGCGAGCAACCATTTTGTTTCAGGTGCCATAATGTTGGTCGCAGTAAAGCTGAGAAGGGCATAAAGTTCTGTTTTTGTACTTCGCAAATGCAAAAATGTAGGGCTGAAATAGGCAATAGCAAAAAATTCAAAGGCAAGGAGGAGGACGGGGAGGGAGGAGGGGAGGGTGAAAGCAAAACTGAAAATAAAGTGAAGTAAAACTTAGACAAGGAGTGAAAATCAACCGATTGCAAAACTAAAAATTAAGCCTAAATCGCCTAATTTCCTGTTAGAATGCCAAACTTACACTGATAAAAGCAAAATGAACGGATGAAAGAGCACCAACGAAGGGCACCTATTCTGTTTTGTCAGAAAGTGGGTCTCCACCTAAATCTATGAATTCCTAAAATCATACTATCAGTTGTGAGGAAACCCCCTCCCCGTTACCAAGCAAGCTGGAAAGTGCGTGAAATGTCGCAAACTGTGTCTTGTCTATCCCTCCAAAAACAAGGATTCATACTCGCTTCGATCCGCCTGTTGAGACCAAAGGTCTCAAATAACGATGGGCAGTGATTAATCGCATTAGATGTTTAACCCTAGCGGTTTTTATATGAGGAGTCGTTGAGGAAATCGTCCCACCAATTTCATTTGCCTTCACCGACAGCATTGAGCGGCTGTGGCGATTGACGGGTAGCGTTTCGTGTTTTTTCGTTCTTGCTTTGTTTTTCTAATGTTTTCTACGTCGGGTAATGGTGATGTTTGCTTGAAGTTTTTTTACTACGCAGCACAAATGTTTTATATGTTTTACATAGTATAAAGGTTGTATTACCCAATTTTGAGGCGTGGTTTTACAAGCGGACGTGTTGACACTGAGGTAACGATTCCGAAGCCGACATAGTGGCGCATGAGCGAAGGCGTCCAGCTCCGCTCAGCGAATCAGTTGTAGCAGTATTTATCATTGAAACTGAACCACTGACTGACATTACTGATATGGCTGAGATTCTCAGGGGAAGCTCGAAAAGTTTTTGAGTTAGTGGCGTGAAGAAAGAGAAACTAATTTTTTTCAGACACCTAACGGAAACGAAATCCGCACGAGAAAAAGGCATTTATGAAAGATAATACACAAACACGCACCAACACACACACAGACGAATTCTTGACAATTTCCTCTTTTGCTCGCTGTAGTAGCGCAATAGCGCTTCATAGCAAAAACGCATAATAAAGACAGATGCCAAAAATAAAGTGAAGTTTTAAAATATTGGCTAC